AGAAATGTCTATTTATTCAGTACTGATATTGTTTGCTTCCAATTATGCTTTCAATTACTGCATATTTTAGTAAACCTGACAGCTTTAGTTTTGGCATCATTAATGCCCCAGGGTTTGTTTGTTTTTTCCTTGCTGCGGTATGTTGTTAATATCTGCAGACTCAGCTTTATGTTTAGACCCAGCCGGGTCTAATATAAATATTTTTTCATTGGGGAAAAAAATTGACAGTGTAAGTGACTAATCTCTGCTGCTCTTTCTTTGCCCCTGATTTCCAATAAACATTTACAAAATTGTATGGATATTGACACCATACAAACATTTTTGTTTTAAGGCTTGTGAGCTTCAGTGGTGGTTTCTGGCTGGTACGGGCCGGTACGGCCATACCTGTAGGAACCAGGAGCAGCTAACAGCGTACCGATACGGTGGTTCATTTGGCCCACCCACCTGCCAGTGGTCTATACCTGGTTTTAAAACAACCGGCCAATTGTGTAAGCACGGACAGCATGCAGTGCCTGTGCGACCTCTGACAAGCAGCTGGGTGTTGCAGGGGCGGTGGAGTGCACATGTGTATGCAGCACGTGCGCATGAACAGGATGCCCAGCCCTGTGAGCAGCGTACCAGTAGCGGCGGGGAGAGGAACCCACCACTGGTATGCTTGCCTAGTTTTTTCAGTTACGTATGTATTTAGGAGATCCCTTCAAAAAGTACATTAAACAGCCTGAATGACCTCCAATTTCTAAAGCAAGGGTAGCATTTTATTAGAGGCTTATGGCATAAGACCTAATCATAAATGCAAAGAATAAAACACATGTATTTTATCTTCCTTTTACTTTCCTATAATTGCAATAGTACATAATGTTCACTACACTTGATTATGCTATAACTAATCTTGTGCAGTACTCATTACTAGGTAGTCATAGATTAGCAATTGCTTGTAGAAAATATGAATATTTTGGCTATAAAAGGAGTGTCAATAATTTATATAAGAACTATTGCTACTCTTAGTATGTCATGCAGTTTAAATGAGGCCTTTCTTAAGTAACAAGTGATATCACTTTGGAATTATATATATTTTCACAGTTTTTATTAAAAGCATTTTTATGCACTCTTCAGTCAAAAATAATTATTGATTGGTTTACATATGAAAACTAACATAGTAATACGTTCCGATGTGCTGGTTTACACTGTCAGTAGTTTAACACAGAAAAGAAAAAGGTCAGAAAAATAATTAATATATTAATTATTCAAAGAAAATGCTTATAATGAAAAGCTGAAATGGAAACATTTCAGACAGAATTGTTTGTCTTTTAATAGAGATGACATTTTGCTTTCTTGCTCCCCCTCTGCTGCAAATAAACTTTCCAATTTTGGTATGGAAACCACTTTGAGTATTTTGATGAATGATAAACAAACACGTAAAGTATTATGAAATATATTGTTAGGGCAAAAAAGTAAAAAAACAAAACAATCTTGACTATGTTATCAGAATTATATGTTTTTTTATGGAGTCGCTGTGACATGTTGGTTTTCCATTAATGTGCATTTTATATCATTGACCAAAGATTATTTAGCTCAAAGATTATTTTTGGTTTATTGTGTGTTCTAATTGGAAAAGACTAGAACCATCCAAATCAGAAGAGGACAAGTGGCATTATATACAACATTTATCTTTAGCAACTAATTAACTCATCAAGAATTGTTTTCACTACTGAGGATTTGCTCAGAAACTATTAGGTTCCATGAAATCTTTATTCAAGTCAGGCACAAGTTGTCCAGCCATTATATCTTATGTGCTTGGATGTCTTCACATGGCTCAAAGAATGAGTTACGAGCTATGGGCTACACAATTCTGGGTCACCACTAGATGGCAGCAATGACAAATATATATTTCTATCCAATCCTTCCATGTAGTGTTTTCAGATTAACTTGAAATATTCAATTTCTTCTGCTTAACCTTGATTTTTGTCTTCATGTCTCTATTTGATCAGATCAATGGCCTTGCTAACCAGAGATATATTTTGGGGGAAGTTTTATCCCCTATGATAAGGAACTGTGATTTAGTATAAAACACATTATGACTTCCTGTTAATTTTGAATCCATTTTGATGCCTTTTAATAATATTGGTATTTTACTGTTTAAAATGTTGGAATTATTGTGGTTTGGGAATATTTCTTCCATATATATATGGTTATCAAATAGTTTGAGATACTAGTGACCTGGCATGGTTTTCTTATAATTGTCATTAGATTCATTATTTACAAAACTATTTTTGCCATGTTTTGAATTGTTCCCATAGGCATTTGAGTCACTTGGCCTCTTAACTGAATTTAATGTATTGAGCAATGATTTAGTGCAAATGTTCCCAATCTTCCTTGGTTTACGATGCTTTTAATATTTTAATATCTTTTTCATAGTGCCCTAGTCAAAACAATGAACTATTTTGAGCGAACAGTTTATGTGGCCTAGAACTCTGCTTTTAATAAAATAATTCTTGTTAATACTTTAAATAATAATTACAGTTGTTTAGGGGATATATTATTTTAAAAATTAATTTCAATTCACCTTTTGCTCCTAGCCTAGAAATCACCATTCAGGTTTATATCCTAAGAAAATCAATGGACAATTTAGATGCAGCTACCTTTTTCCAAAGGGAGAGTAGATCTCCAAAGTGTACATGGATATTATTATTTTGTGCTTGTTTTATATTTTATTTATTGTACATATCTGCTTTTCAGGGTGTAAAGGAATGGAATATCGCTCATCTCAATACCATATTGGATATTGTAGAAGAAGATTGTGGAATCTCAATTGAGGGAGTCAACACTCCATATTTGTATTTTGGAATGTGGAAAACAACATTTGCATGGCACACTGAAGATATGGATCTCTACAGTATTAATTATCTCCACTTTGGAGAACCAAAATCCTGGTAAGTTAATTCTTTTATGAGTGGGTGTATGTGGGGCGGGGGGAAAGAGAAGGAGAGTGCACAATGTTTCTTAGTTTTGAAAGATTAAAAAATATGAAGAACTGCAATGTTAAGTATATGGCTAAAAGCAGATATGGAAACATCTTGTCAGCAATTTGTAATTCAACTGAAGTCTCAGATTTGTGAGCAAAGAAGTATACTTAACTTTAAAATATCATTTAAAATTTTTATACTGCATGAATAAAGTTTCCAATGTTGTCTCTAGCATCTTTAAGAAAGATAATAACCATAGTATACATAATAGAGTTATTGAATATACTAAGAAAAATGTTGCAATAGCAATAGCACTTAGACTTATGTACCGCTTTACTGCTTTACCTCTCTAAGTGGTTTACAGAGTCAGTATATTGCCCCCAACAATCTGGCTCCTCGTTTTACCGATCTTGGAAGGCTGGAAGGCTGCAATATAAGGAATATGTTATTTTCAGAGCCAAGACATATTATTTGTTTGAAAATCTTTATTCTATAGTGCTTCAAAGATTTATGGGAAAAAATGGAGAAAGGAAAATAGAAGTGAAGTAATGTTATGCAAAATGCAGAAAAGGAGTAAGAAATAGTAAGTCAAAGGTATCAAGGCATGAAAAAAGATAAATCATATCAAAATCTAATTACACAAATCATTCATAATACCAATCTACACCATCCTGTCTTTGCAAAATCATCAATGCTTCCATCACACCTACAAGCTTAGTCCAGCTGGTTTTCTTACCTAAAGTGGGACAAGAATTCACAGTCTCAGAATATATGTTAAAATTAAATATGTATAAATACCATCAACATAAAATGGAGCTTGCTCAGAAGCTGAAATACACCAAGTAAATGAGATGAAGAGTGGGAAGAAAAGGAGAGAGATAATGGAAGAAGAGAGCAAATAGGAGAGAGGGCAAGGAGGGGGGAAGAGGAGGAGAGAAATGAGGAGTGGAAAGGGGGAGAGGAAAAGGAGAGAGGAAGGGGAAGTAGAATAGGGAAGGATAATAGAGGGAAGAAAGGAGGTAGGGAGGGGGAGGAGAGAGGTGGAAGAAAGTGATGGGTAAGGACAAATATGGTGTATGAAGAGCAGAAGAGCTAAGATAAATTGATGTAAACATTTAATAATACAAAACGATGCTGGCTATGTAATAGTATACATGTGATTATATGTTATGAAAATGAAAAAATGAAAAAATACTAAAAAAAAAAGAATTCACAGATTCTATACTGGTGCCTTAACCACGAACCAAACTGTCTCTCTCTATAATTTCATCTCAAATTATTTTATCATTTTTATTTTGATTAACTTTGAAAGCTTCTTGTTTATCTGTTTCCACCCAGTTACAATTTTGTATTTTCATAGAAATTGTTCAGCTTTTTCTTCCATCTCTTTTGATCTTGTGAAGATTTCATCTCTGTCTTCTCTGTGGATTAATGGTCTATAATGCACACCCATACTACCATCATTATTATTTGTTTTCCCCTTGATGTTTACCAAATGCTTTCAGGACTGTTTTGATCCTTGGAATCATGAATTTGTGATGTCGATTCAGTCACTGCCATCTCCCTCCTTTCATATTTTTTAAAAAAACAGTGTATATGTAGTAAATCATAGTCTGTATTAGATATGAACTCAGGATAGCTGGTAAGTGATACCAATCAGTTAGGCTCCTGATTCAGTCATAGAAAGAAGATGCACCAATCTACTGAATATTCTGTGTTTTCAGTCATGTCTATTTATTCATTTTAATTACAATCCAATTAAAAAATACAGCACATGATTAAAATGCATAAGTAATATGTATGGTACATTTGTTTATTAATTAATCACATTTGTATAATTGGCCATCATATCAAGGTGACTGGAAGGTGCACAGAATAGATAAAAAAAATCTAAAAACAGCAAAAACAATAATACGTAGTAATACCTAGTAACAAATATCTTAAAAGAAACCCAAATACAATTAAAGTGAAGGATAAGAAATAGGTCCCTCAACAATGGAACTATGTAGTTGAGTCTTTGTTTTAGGGGACACCCCCCCCCAGACCTGGTCATATGATATAAATGCTTTATTTTATTTTATACATATATATATAAAATAAATAAATCTAATAAAGTTAATGTTTCATTAAAGGGACCAAACAGTAGCAGATTTACAATAGTTCATTTAGTGACCATTCAAAGTTACAATTGCACTGAAAAAAGTGACTTATGACCATTTTTCACATTTGCAGCATCCCCTTAGTCATATGATTAACATTCAAATGATTGACAACTGGTTCCTATTTATGACAGTTGCAGCGTCCCAGGGTAACGTGATCATCTTTTGAGACCTTCTGACAAGCAAAGTTTAATGGGGAAGCCAGATTCACATAACTGTATTACTAATTTAACAACTGCAATGATTCAATTAGCAAATGTGGCAAGAAAAGTTGTAAAATGGGGCAAAACTCACTTAACAAATGTCTCACTTAGCCACATAAATTCTGGGCTCAATTGTAGTCATAAGTCGAGGACTACCTGTAGTTTATCTTCAGGTGGAAGATTAGCATGTTGATCAGTTGTCACCCTATTGGGAAGAACATCTGTTCAGGTTAGAGTGTAAACCCTTCTATGGGGAACATTCAGAATTGGCATTGTCCGGGTGGAAAGAACAGTTTTTCTCTAGGAGAGGTATGAAACTTTGGCACTGTTGGCCTGAATGTCTAAGTCCCATACTCTCTGGTTTAGTTCTATCAGGGTTTTTTCTAGGTCTAGAGCAAGTGGGACTGGTCTTGATAGTCCATACTGTCTCATCTTGGTTAATTTGTTTATCAGAGTATATTGATGTATATATGTTAGTAAACACACTTACCATGCCAAAAGGGCATCCACTGTACAAAACTATAGGACTGGTAGAGAAAGAATCATCTTCCTCCACGACTAGTGCAATATTAGTAGTGAGCTGCTAATATTGGAACAGAGTTCTTTTATTCTTCTCTGGACAACACTGGAAAGGCTTGTCATCTGATAATACCCAATGTCATCTTGGGTGCACTGCGGTTTTATAGTGCAGGTAGTTCTTGAATAATAACTGTAATTTGGGCCAGAATTTTCATTGCTAAGCGTGTGGACAATGGAAGACTATGGAAAGAGAGTATGGGATGCATGCAAGTGCACAGAGGCCAAGGAAGGAGGGCATGGGGTCTATGTGAGTGAAGGGGAAAAGGAGGGTGTGGTGCAAGTGAGCAATGATAGGCCAGGTGTGAGACAGACTTACCTGGGCAACTTGCAGCCTTCCCTCTTGCTCCTTTATTGACTTTGCTTGTAGGACGCTAGCACAAAACACTGCAAATTATGTGATCACAGGAGGTTGCAACCAGTACTAACTGCAAGCTGGTTGCCAAGCATTCAAATTTTGTTTACATGACTGTGGAACTACTACAATCGTCAGAACTTTGAAAACACTGTAAATCTCATCATTCAGCACTATTATAACCTTGAATGGTTGCTGAATAAAACATTGTAACTTGAGGACTACCTGTAAGTCTTTCTCCTGAATATATAGTCCCATAATTGGTTTAAACAGGCCACTGTTTAAACAGACCGTGAGATTGTCAGCTGAAAAGCTGTCAGTCCAGGTTTGAGACCCGGATACCATGTGACAGAGTGAGGTCCCATTACTTGCTCCAGGTCCTGCTCACCCAATAGTTCGAAAACATGCAAATGCGAGTGGATAAATAGATAGCACTTCGGTTGGAAGGTAACAGCGTTCCATGTCCCCTGCCATATAGTCATGCTGGCCACATGACCATGGAAATATCTTCAGACAACATGGCTTCCTCAGCTAAGAAATGGAGATGAACACTATCCCCTAGAGATAGCTATGACTGGACAGGAGAAATATTTACCATTAATTGATTTAAAAGGCAGAAGAGATAATATTACTGCCAGTCTAACTTCCAGCAAGCTTTAACAACAGGGGTTTTCTAACTTCAAAACAGGAAATGACAGTCCAAGATGAGAAGTTCCTTTTAGATAAGTGTGTCATAAGCCTTTTAGCATTTTAATTAACATCTAGAATTGGGTTGAAAGATAAATAGACATTATTTAGTCTCTTACAATCAACTAATTCAATTTCTTTTGTTTAAGTTATACATAAGCTGCAATTTCCCAGCATTTCCAAGGACCTTGGAATGCCTTGCAATATTTCAACTAGAAGTTATAAGAACATGAATTACTGTTAGGAGGTGAACTAGTAGTGAAGTAGTGCTAGAAATAGCATTCTGGTTTTCCCCCCCTGAAATCATTCATAGCATTTCTGTTTTGTTGGACTTAAACTTCAGTTCATTAACTCTCATACAATTGTTGCTTCAGGGTATTCCTGATTCCGCTTCTGTATATCTTTATCTGATTCTTATAGGGGATGAAAGAGAGAGATTGTTAGCATACCAATGGCATTTCACCCCCTTATCATCTCGATAGTAAATGAAATAGAATACAAGGGAGAACTCTTAAAGGCATCAGGCTAGAAACTAGAAGACTATGAATTCTAGTTTTGCTTTAGGCATAAAACCAACTGGGTAATCATAGGCCAGTCACAAACTCTCAATCCTAGGAAGTGGCAAACAATTCAGAAATCCTGTCAACAAATATGAATATGTCAGTAGCCAGGAGTCAAAACTAACTTGAAGGCACACACATAATACAATGCAGTTTTTTAAAAAAAATCGGTGCAAGTGTTTGTACATGTGCACTTGTACATATATGTAATTTTTACTTATTGCTAAACTATTTTTCAATAATAAAAAGTATGCATATCAAATATTAACTTGAGTTTTCCCCTATCATTTATTCTGTAACCTATCTATACTAATTTCTACGTCTGAAGGAATACACATTTTTAATTAATTAAAAATACTTTTTTGAAAGTAAAAATGAAAATGTCTATAAATACACACTCAGATATAGCATAATCTTATGCAAGATGAGAAACAAATTGGAAATTTGCAAAAATGCAGCATGGTTACAAGCACATACGTATTTGGTCCAAAAAAAATTCACGTAAGAATTGCATAAAATATTTAGCATCTGGTTTGTAGGATTTTCTAAAAGCTTCATAATAATAAACCAATATTACACATAGTTCAATTACTTTAATTTAAAGGAAACTACTCTCATACATATATTATATTCTGTCTGTACATTTTATTGGCTTACATATGAGCTCCTAACAATTTGGGTATTTGAGGAATATCCATTCTGGACACCAGTTGCAGTTCTTTACCAGTGTTAGAAGAGTAAGAACAGCAAGGGCTTTTTGGAAATGGTGCTTAGGTTAGGAAACTTCTTGATGTTTGTTCTGCCACTGCATTATTACCTATTTTTAGCATTTTTATGATGGAAGCTGATAAAGTGTATTTTATTTACTTGGCAGTTGCTTTTATATTAGTTTTTGGTTTTATTTCATTATTTTATAACTAATATAAATACTTTTTTTCTTGCAGTTAGCATCTGAATTATTTTAGAAAGAGGAATGTCACAAAAATATTAAACTAAATATTTTTGTGTTATCTGTCATATATAGTCTGTAGAGTATTCTAAGAAAATTTTAAAAAGTTAAGTGTATCTCTAAATTAATCTGCATTTTCCGTTTAAATATATTTTAGGTATGCTATTCCTCCAGAGCATGGAAAGCGACTTGAACGACTTGCTCAAGGTAGATCTGTTTGGTTTTAAATAAATATTTCATACTGTATTTAAAAGGCGAGGCAAGGCCTTGTGACTGCTGTTTTTTCATCTTTCCCTACAAACATTCATGTGTAATTTTTGGGTAGAGGATGGGATTTTTAGTTCAACATATTGGAATAGTTCTCATTTTGAATAAGTTAAGATTTTAGCAAGCTATTGTTTCAATTGAAGGTTTATAGTTTTTAATTCATATTGCTTCTTTATCTTTCATTTTTATTCTTTTGATAATTCTATTTTGTTACTAATAGAATTTACAAAAGAGATACATACATGATTTTCATCCTGGGTCTCCAACCACAAAGATTACAATAAAAAATTAAAAACAAGCTTTCTAAAATTATGAAAATGTCATAACAGCCTCGCAGCTACAATTTGCATAATCAGCAAAGGTTAATAAACTTGCAGAGTGAATAGATTTTAAGCTTAATTACATATTTATATTAAAAATGTAGCCCAGAATTGCAGCAACTTAGAAAAAAAGCTGTGAGGTGCAACAAAGTTGGACCTGCTTAACAGATGCCTGCTGAATTAATTGAATTTTCCTAAATAATTAAAATGCTAAAATAATGCAGTAAATGTGGTGAAGCATTGCAGGTTATCTAGGTCAAGCCAGTACTTGATACATAAAATTAAAGGAAGCCTGGGATTTTTTTCCCATTATCTTGTCTGCCGATCATAATTATCACATTGCCTTTTATGCATGAATGCTTTCATCTTTGGAATTCATGAATACTTGATTGACTATGGCACCTACAAATATTTTATCTGAAAGACATTAGACTTACATCTAATAAATGCAGAAGCCTGATTTTGCTCTTTAGATTATTTTTCATTTATGTAGTTCTTTCTTTTTTGTATAGCAACAAATGTAATAAAATCTCAAGTGAGCTGTTACTGCAATTTTGAAACTAGACGTTTCTTTGTAATACTGCTGAATACTTAAGATATTGACAGTAGCTTGCATAGTTGTAAAATGCAAGATAAAATAGAACAGATTCTATTTTTGATGACAATTCTAAATGGCAATGACAAATATTATGAAGCCATATCACAAAGCGCATTTTAGAAGACATTTCTGTTTTAAAATTTTCTTTTATGTTAACAGACACAATCTATAATGTTGTGTATGGTCAGGGAAAATGGTTGACAAACTTTACTGTTTTTAGATATATTTGAATATAGTTCTTTATGCAGATCATTTGTCTTTGAATTAAGTTTTCACAAGTTTCTTTGTTTGAATTCAAACTATATATTGGAAATAAAAATAAATACACACAATTTCCCTATACATTATTGTAAATATTGTAGCTTAGGATAGTATCTTGTCAAAATATGGATCAAAAGTGGGCCACAATATTTAGGGGGACATAAGACAATGGAAGTTATAAGGGAGTGCCTTGAATACATCAGCTCTGAAGCAGGCTTACCTTTTGGTATGAAACTATGCAGAACACAAAACTGTGAGATGTTTCTAGACCAGTGACATTGAAGCTATGTGTGTCAAAAGTGACACACCACATTTATTTTGAGTGACATGGCAGTGTTCATCAATACTGAACAACTATTTTTGAAAGCACACCTCATTCCCTTGTGGTTTTTGGAGCTGCAGAGGCTGCACAAGAATGGGTGTGGCCTCGCACAGTATCTGGAAGTTGCATGAGAATGGGGAGTATTTTCACATGATGTTTGGAGGCTGAAGAGGCTGCGGTAGAACATTCTCTGAAGCTGCAACAAGAAAAAGGCTTCATGTGATCCAGAGCAGCTTTGGGTAGGCTGCAGGAGCTCTCAACCGAAAGAGAACACCACCTGAAGATAAATGTCATGTGGAAGATCTGGGGAGCAGCTTCACCATTGTCCAAGATCATGTGGCCCTGTGTAGAGTCCCCTGTCAGGGTGATTTAGATGGGTGGGAGGGGGAGACATAAAGGATTGTTTCTCTTTTGTTCAAGGGGAAGGTGATATACCAGCAGAGTTAGGCATTTTCTAATTTGTTGACATGCCAAGTCCAAAAGGTTTACTATGACTGTTGTAGATTATGACATCTAAATATTTTTTTCAGTGGAGGGGGGCTATTATATTGTATATTAAACATGTCTTTCAGAGAAGGAATAATTATCCTTTGATGACACAAGATTCTTTTGCAAACATTTATTTATTTAAAATATTCCGACCACCTGACTTGATTTTCCTTCTCCAGAGGAAATTACTATGGAATGGAAGGAGGAGGGAGTTGTAAGGCTAAGACAGTAAAGGAGAGATGTACAGGTAGCAGTATCAAGGAAAATACTATATGGGTGTGTGTGACAGACAATTCACAGCTTGCCAATGTTTTGCAAGCTGCAACATTTTAATAGTTTAAGAGAACCATTCCTATTTTTTTAAATTTGATGAGTAAAAGTAATTGCCGTCACTAAAGGAGAATGAGAGGAGAGGAAATAATAAAATCAATCAGATTTGCCATCCACTCTATTCAGAAATCAACACTGAGTCAGTCATTGCCTTTATGTGACTTCTCTCTCAATATTTAATAATAAAGGTATTTCAGTGGTGATATTTTTTAAAAATATGAAAATATGGTAGTGTCTGCAGGAACACTTTGTATTTTGATTATAATGCAGAAATAAGTTCATTGTTCTGATTACCGTATATACTCGAGTATAGGCCGACCCGAATATAAGCTGAGGCACCTAATTTTACCACAAAAAACTGGAAAAGTTATTGACTCGAGTATAAGCCTAGGGTGGGAAATGCAGCAGCTACCGATAAATTTCAAAAATAAAAATAGATACCAATAATGTTTTTCAAAGCCATTGTAAAAATTTGCTCTGGATAACAAATTATTATCACACAATA